GTGTACTTCGTTCAGTTACGTATTGCTAATAAATTCTAATAAAAATAATTAAATTATCGGAGATTCAGCTGCGTCAAGCTGCTAACCGCTCTTTAAACTTCATTTTTCAGGATATTAGTGCTAATTTTATTCAACCTTTTACTCAAGATTCAACAAAAAAAATATAAATTAGCAACGAAACAAGAAATAATATCACCCATGAGTCTTATTCTCAATAATCTCCATCGGAAATCAGATTCTCGGAGCCACCTTCATAACCACCTTCATGGAAATCTTCATCATTTATTCCACAGTCGTCTACAATTTGCTTGACCGCGTGTTTTTGATAAACATTTATGGTCAAGGTTAGTCCAATTTCAACTTTATCTCTCTTCCATTTGATCCGGTAATATTTAATGGAAACGTCGACTTTCTCCTTGAGAGTTTGCTCGATGGTTACATCCTCCTTCTTTAGGGCCATAACCTCGAATTGGTAATCATATTCAATCTGAAACAGATAACATCAAATAATTGTTAACAAAACTTGCAAAAAATTAATAAAACTTTCAATGAAATTCTTACGTCAGAAATGTTAATAGTCATCCGACCTCGAAGTAAAATTTCAGGCAACGTGACGTCCTTAACTTTGGTGAGAGCAAAACACTTATCGATTAAAGGACCAAGATAGTATCCGATGTATGTTATCCGTCAAAAAAAACGCAGCTACCCCAAAGTGATGCGCTCTAACGCAGAAGAGAGTGGTCGTAGGAAGATAAATCCGTCTCCAAAACGGATTTTTGGAGAAAATTAGGTCAAAAAATTCCATTTTTTGAGTTTTCTTATCAAGAAGGGGCACAATTTTGCAACAAAAGTGGAGCAGTCTTACACACGAATACGATCAATACCGTCTGCAATATTGTCTCGGATTATCAAAACAACGGCACAAACCCGAAAAAAATTTGGCGGGCATTAACCATGAACAAGGTCATCAACCTTGATTGATGCCTGAGGGCATATGTACAAAATAAGAAAGTACTGGGATTGGTGTGTGACCGATATAGCTATCCTAGTCCAGTACCATATGGTGGCAATTTCTTACTTACACCGCGTTTAAAGCAAAATAATTATGGGGGGCCATTTTTTTGACCAGGCCAAAAGAACATATTGCCCCAGTACGTGCTAGGCCAACTACAGTACCACAAGCGTATAGTCACACGTCTTAGTATTCCATAAACTTTACAATGATACCATATTTATATCCCTACGACCACTCTCTTCTGCGTTAGAGCGCATCATCTTGGGGTAGCCCGTTTTTTTGACCGCCACTGTACAAAAGTTTTTCTCGCTCGCTTAAGACGACTGAAAGCCTTCTTGGCAGAGAACAAACTGATTCAACTTGAAGAAATCTATAGATTTCTTAAAAATTAATTCGCTTATTGTCATCTCCTCGGTGCCCTCAAGAACCGTATTAAGTTGCCAAAGATCGACTATAGGGGCAGAGATGTCCAGTTTCTTAATTTTAACTCCTTTGAGATTTTCGAAATCTAAAAAATAAATTGGATAATCAGCTTCGATTTATATTCTCCATGAAGAAAAGCTTACAACCTGTTGCGATCGCACTCAACGAACTCATTCAACTCAATCCTTTCATTTCTCGAGCCTTCAGTAGAGTCGACATACATGTCAAGCTCTCGATTTTTCCGCACTTACTCAACAATCTGATCAATACAAAGATATCGTGAAGAAAGTAAAGGTGAGCAATCTCTAGAAAAGGAACAATCAGGTTAATTAAGAACAGATCTACTTACTTTAACTCCAGTCAAAAGCTCGTCCAATTCCCGAACATATTGACTGAGCACCAGATTTATTTTTGATGGCTTAGTGTAACGCAATATCCAGCTCGCAGTTGGCCCGTCACAAAGGGGAAAAAAAGGTTGTTGGAAAAGGTTTGTTAGAAAACGATAACCCATTGAATGAAGAGGAAATCCAACAATTTTCGATCACAGGAAGAACTGAAGACAGCGAACGACGGCACAAAAACTAAAACATATCCTGTATAACACCTAAAATAGTGAAAACGAAAGCAAATAAAGAAAAAACTTACAAAACTTCGAAAGAAAATCATGGTTTCCAACGTCCAGTGCATATTGCTGATAATATCCCAGAGGTAAACTGTTCAGATTTGGTCGAGTATTGCGTTCTTTCCTCATAAATTGGCTCTTTCCGACATTTTCAAGCCTTGGAATTTTTACCCGTAATAGATGAAAATAACGTTGAAGGTACGTGTTCTTGAAAAAAATTTCATAAGATTTTCTTTCTCTCGCGCCCAGCGCTCGATTGCGGTTGCACCATTTTATACGGCGAAACATGTCCTCGAAAAATATTTTTTGAGAAAATTTCCCTGACACGCTCAATGTTTTTTTGGTTATTCGCCTAGAGGCCGGACTCTAATCGTTCCGGTTGCGACTATTTGTTATCATCGAGCATTCGTTGCGAGGTTGTTTCACCATGAGTTTAAAGTTGTTCAATGGAAGGTTGATTTCCTTCCAAAGAGTCATAATGCGACGTTTTCCAATCATCTGTTCTTCAAGAAGCGCTAAAGCTTTTATAAACGGTAAGTTAGTTTTGGAGTTTGTTTATTGAAAGTTTAGGAAATGGCTTGGAAGTACGTCTGGAAAAGTGTTCGAGGTCACAAATCCTATACGAATGAGCCGATAGCTGATGTTCCGGATTGTAATGTGCAAGATACAGAGATAGTACGTGTTTGTAAGTTTTTTACTGACACTTTTGGATAGGATCGTATTGGTCTTTTATTGTTTTAGGCAGTTCAAGCAGCTCGGCAAGCTTTGCTTTATGGGCGAATGAAACTACCTGCAAAACAACGGGGTGAAACTTTGAGAAGATGGTTCGAGATACTTAGAGATCGAGAGGATGAGTTGGCGAAGCTTTTGACTACTTTACCACTACTTTAACTGTTTCGGATGTTGTTTGAAGGTCTCGACGCTTCAGAGGAACACCAAACATGGGGCTGTTTTGGTGGTTGCAGGGTCTGTTTTGCTTTTGCCTGGTAGAGGCCATCTCCACATTTGGTTATTTAAAGTGTGAAACTTTGGGTCTCCTTCAAATGTGGATTCTGAACAACGAAAGTTGATCAACAGAGGAATCCCATTGACGTTTTCGTTGCCTCAGTCCATGCCGCCAATTTTAATAAGTAAGGGTATTCAATATCATTGGCTATAACGACTAAGGTTGATGCATGTGTGTTACCATATTGGAGGTTTTTTGAGATAAGTTGGATATCTAGTAGAATAATAAGATTGATCGTGACTCACTACTTTCCCGACAGTCAGATATATTTCATCGATGTGTAGTTTAGCCTTGTGGGTCCTCTGCAATATAATAACTCCCGTTTCAGTCCCCTGCGGCCTTACGCCGTATTCCTCAACCTGGTGCCGGATACACCGCGCTACGAGTGGAGACGACGACAACAGCTGAGCTTCAGATGTATTAGCGATAAGAATGAAGTGGCTGATGCGGAATACCGAGATTCAGATGGCGGAACGGACTGTTCGTGGAAAAACTATTATTTTGTCTGCGAATTCACAAAACCGGCTTTGTCCGTCCGACTGGTCGATCAGGAAGGGTTTGGGCCGAGGGTAAGAACAACGTAGCGTAAAGAAGATCAGCCCGAGTTGGGACGGTCAGATGAAGAGGAAGCTTTCAACTCGGGCGTCTCTTTCGATGGCTTTCCAAAAAACTTTTATCCGGCAGACCTTGCTTTTCTAGCCTTATCTCGACTTTGCCCCTGCAAGGGGCAGAGCAAAAATCCCACATTTTAATGTATGCGCCATGAAGACTATGCAAGCAAACCTCAGGCCAAACATAAACGCTGAATTCCGCAAAACTCAAGCCACCATTCATAGATGACTTTAGGTACTAGTCAAACAACCAGTCACCGGAGAAATTCCTCTGGTCGCTTGCCTCTCCCGAACCTTCTACTACGAGAACTGGCAAGTAATGTTAACCGTTCTGGAGATGTACAAAGCGATGGGGGTCTCCGAACTCTCCATTCATATTCTCAACATCGTCAAAGAGGTCTTCAATATCCTAAAACAGTATGAAGATGAGATCAATTTGAAAATCCACCCCGGATTTTTGATTCCAAAGATCCGCGGGCGCTCTGAGAACCCGAATTTCCAGACCGAGACGATGAATCAGATAATGTGCTACAACGACTGTCTCTACAATTACCGAGAAGCCGCTGACTTTCTGATCTTCACGGATATGGATGACTTGATAATCCCCGAAAACGGAGACTTGTTGACGAAAGCGCGCCAAATCCTACAACGATTTCCGCTGGCGGCGTCGATGGAATTCGCGTGGACGACCTCCAATTTCAATGGAGGTAGGTGGAGGTTTTGAGCGGGGAGGTCAAAGAAATAGCAGGAGTGCCGTGGAGGGATTAAAGAAAAAGAGAAAAAAATTTGCAAATTCCGTATATCTGGATAATATTGCATCCAAGTACACAGGAATAGTTTGGCCATGTTTTGAGATTACATATCATTTTATGATACATGACCTTACACTATTTACCGTAGGTTGCCTAAGTTTGAGCCGTCATGCACGGCAACCCAAAGTAGAACACAAATGTATTCCTTCCACTCTTGAATTTGCTCATGACTTTCCCGACAAACTGATAGCTTCCTTATATATGTAAATTACAACGAATAATGTTTACTGCCAAAATCCTGTAAGTCACAACTTGCACTGAAAAACTCTTTCAGTCGCGCATCCCAATCAGTTCTCCATCCCCCGGCTTCTCAGTGGCGTTACCCATCACGTCGAAGCGTATGGAAAATCAACTGTTATTCGAAACGAATGCTGAGAGCCATCATTCACAACACCGAGTTTTACAGCCAGAATCAGAGGATTCTCAAATGTGAATGCAAACCGGACTGCCGAGGCATGGACTGACATTGCATGCGGAAATGGTCATGATGTCTTTTAACGAGAGTCTGGAGAATGATCATAGTATTGATCAAGTAAATCTGGGCGTGGTTGACTTAGACGCGATGAAGAGGGCTGATAATGCATTCAGGAAGAGGATGAATGGGAAGTTTAAGGATGTAAGTTTCCAGTTTTTAGGACAAAGCTTAGTACCGGGTATAATACAGTGACGGACGGACCTGACTCAGTTTCAAAAAAAAACGATTTTGCATTCAGAAATTACCAAAAAATGTAAAAAAATGCCTCCCTGTCAAAAATTAACAAAACCGTTTTGAAAGAGTGCGCCCTCACCCTCACGAAAAGAAGGGCGCTCTTTCAAAGAACCTGATTTTTTCACTTGGAGGGAGGTCTTTTGCAGCTTTTTTAATACTTCCAGATGCCAATTGGTACGTTTTTTACCAGTGCCCTGAGTAAAAACTTTAAAAATCTGACAATAAGCGTCACGCCGGAGGACTTTCCTTATTAGGTGTCGTTCTGAACGCTCCCTTTCAGACCTTCCAACGCCCTCCCCTCACAGTCTCTTCTTCACTCCACAACTGCGGCAATGTTATATTGATGGCGGGCGCACACTTGCGGGCAACCGCTTTGCGGGCAACCAGTTTGCGGGCAAATTTTTTGCGGGCAGCCACTTTGCGGGCAGCCGACATTTGCGGCCAGCACCGGCATTTGCAGGCAGCCTGGGACATTTGCGGGCAGGGTCGACAGTTGCGAGGGCAGCCTGGAAGATTTGCGGGCAGCCGACATTTGCGGGCAACCGACACCTGATTGTGAGGGTAACAGGGTGGACGTGGAAAAATTACTATGATATTGTTGGAAATTTGCCGACATTTGCGGGCAGCCGACATTTCCGGGCAACCGGCATGAGGATTACAAGGTGGAGGTGGAAAAATTACTTCGATATTTTGGAAGTTTTCCGACATTTGCCGGGCAGGCAATACTTGCGGGAAGCCGACATTTGCGGGCAACAGTTCCAAAAAGTTGCTATACAGTCTGTGTGATTGTTTTTTCCTGTTGCCCGCAAATGTCGGCTGCCCGCAAGTGTCGGCTGCCCGCAAATGTCGGCAAATTTCCAAAATATCGCAGTAATATTTCCACCTCTACCCTGTTACCCTCAGGTGCCGGTTGCCCGCAAATGTCGGCGCGCAAGTGTCGGTTGCCCGCAAGTGTCCCAGGCTGCCCGCAAGTGTCTCAGCTGCCCGCAAATGTTTCAGCTGCCCGCAAATGCTGACCCCCCAAATTTTGCCCGCAAAGTGGTTGCCCGCAAAAATTTGCCCGCAAACTGGTTGCCCGCAAAGTGGTTGCCCGCAAGTGTCGCGACGCCATATTGATATCACTGCCACTCGACATAAAGGTGCCAATCTTTGCGCCAGCATCAATAACTGCAAAATTGATTACGAAAATAGTCCGGGCTGTGCGGCTGTCTCCGCAGAAGATGAAGCGCATACATCAATGGGAAAGTGAACTTACGTGCAGCGCAACTTATACGAATATTGGAGAAAGCCAACTGTAAACTTCCCTTTGGGCAGACCGGTGATTTTCGAGCGATGAAGAGCTTATGAATTGATTTGATGGTGGGCTACAGGTAATAATACACTAAACATTGAGCTTATTTCGTCCTTCAAGATGTCATAATGATATTAACAGTAATAATAATAATGATATTAATAATAAATAAAATAATAATAATAAATAAACTTCTATGTAAAAAGATACTACAGAGTTGGATCTTGGAGCTCAACAAGGTTGTTCGATATACACTGTTGGCCAGGTTAAAGATTTTCTGTTATTTCTTGCCAATTTGGATTACATGTCATAGTAATGAATAGATCAGTTTTGCCACATGTTTTCGTAAGAGTCAATATGTCATCATACGCGCTTGTCTTATACCTTGGAGTCATTTTAGGCCCATACACGTCAAACTGAGGTAAGCTGAAGTAGTCCCGTGAATGGATTGGCAATCTGCCAAAAAACGACGCGAAAAAACTTTTTGTCGGATAAGGAGTGGGGAATTTTTGAGACGAGAGAGTACGTTTTGCGCGACTTTTCTCTGTTTTCTCTGAGATCAATACGATAAAACCGACAGCGAAGAGTTTATTTCAGTCACCGGACTCCTCAGTTTGACGTGCCGTATAAGCTTTATATGTAAGAAAAACTCAAGTTGTCAATGAGCCGTTCAAGAAAGCCTTTGCACTAGAAAAGGCCTATGTCTTATTCTCATTCCCCCATCATCCGGCGTTACCAGTAATTAAATGGATGTTTGGTTAAACAAGGTTCCTCAAGCAATAAGAGAGTTGGTAACCGGAAGACCAAAAGGTGCATTAGTTATCGCAAAATCTCACCTAAATCACTCTACCTCAATTTCACCAAAATTACAAAAGATACAATCCAATCAACCAAAACAAGACTCACTCTCCCGCGGCGCCATTTCACCGCTATTCTGTTCATGGTAATGTGCAAAGGCTTTGTTTCGCTTAAGGCTTCAAAGTCGGATGCTCAAACGAGTTCCCGCTTCCTTCTGTTTGGCACTAATTCTTGGCGTAACATACGTCCTGCATCTGTGGGTTTCTCGAGCGCCTAAACTTTTACCACACCATGACAGGGCTAACAGGATGGAGAAGGTTTATCGCCCAGAGATCATATAACTTTAAACATGTGCGTTTTCAGCTCCAGTTATTTCATCTCCGCCTATCCGTACTCTGTCTACCTAAGCCTAATGCTGGATACGAACCAAACAGAACCTGAGCGGAGAGAGCAAATGAAGTTCAAGTGTATCAGCGACTCCGGTGAAGTCGCTGACTCTGCTGTTGTTGGAATCGACGGTGGACAGGACTGCTCATGGAAGAATTATTACTTTATCTGCGGATTCTACAACCCACTCAGTACTGTCCGACTGGTTGATGACCAAGTATTTGGCCCTGAGATTACCGTGAAGCGTCCAATTTAACGCAAAATCCCACTGGTTGTTTGTTTGTCCAGAACCTTTTACTACGAGAATTGGCAGGTAATGTTGACCGTTTTGGAGATGTACAAAGCCATGGGAGTCTCCGAATTCTCCATTCATATCGTCAATGTTGTCAAAGAGGTCTATGATATCCTAAAACTATACGAAAGGAGATTAATTTAAAAATCAACCCTGGATTTATAATCCGACGATCGACGGGCGCCCCGAGAATCGAATTTCCACACCGAGACGATGAACCAAATCATGTGCTACAATGACTGCCTCTACAGTTATCGAGAGGCCGCTGAATTTATGATCTTCTCGGATATGGATGACTTGATCATGCCGGAGAATGGAGATCTGTTGTCGAAAGCAAGCCTTCTGGAGACGTTTCTCCAATGGCGGCCGGTTTTGAATTTGTATGGGCGACAAGTCATTTTAGGCTGGGTAAGTGAGCAAGTCCTCTATTATGAGTATAAAAAATGAAGATATACGGGCTACAAGACCTTTGTCGGATATATGTGATTGCACGATAAGTTTTAGCCATCTTAATGCCACAAATGGTGATTTCTGCCGTGAAGGGTGGTCTTGTAACGCTTTTGGGACTCCCCAACTTCCTTTCATGCCTTTTAGCCACCGTCTACTGCATTTTTTTGCGTCTCTGACTGCCTCGTTACGATCGACTTTAGTTGACCTGAAACGTCGTCGACTCCTATAATGCAAGGATTTTCCTGTATTTCGTCTTTGGGACCAATAGCCTTATTTCAGCACCATCGCTCGACCAGTTCTCGATTCCACAGCTCTTCAAAAGCCTGACTGTCAAAAATCTCGAAACCTATGGGGAAATCAATAGTCATTCCAAAGCGAATGAAGTCCTCGATTATTCATAATGTCGCCGGCGAATGGACTAGATTTTCTGGCTACGAGAAAATATAAACTCTACATTTGTTGGTGCTGGGAGAACAGTCCATATTAGAGGAGCGGAAACGAAAGAGCAGGACGCTGCGGATAAAGATTCAAATTTCTTGACGGAAGAAAAGACAATTTTTTGAATAACAGGGCGATCAAACTTGCGGATTTTGCTTTCAAAGATAGAAGCAAAACTAACAAAGAAATTTGAAGATGTAAGTGTAAGATTAGTGGCCATTTCTCTCTGTCTCTTTAGGCACTGCGCTCTCTGCCACCAACTTTATTCTTCACCCCGCAATTCAGGCAATGCTACACGGATACAGCGATGATTCGCAACGCGAGCACCATTTTGCGCCATGAGCAATTGCGAATTGACCACAAAAATGGTCCCAAGTGTGCGACGGCGAACGCGGACATGCCGGATATATCAACGAAACTGAACTTTATGTGGCGAACAACTTGAGGATTGAGGAGGACACGGGTTGCGAATTGAAAATTGAGAGTCCTGCGATTTTTTGAGCTTTAACAAAGACACTATTCACCAGATATCTTCATATGTAAGCAATAAAAAGTCGAGTTTTGGCATTATGAAAAATGAGTCAAGTTTTTTCCGTGTTGGGGTCAAGTCGTTCTCTCGGATGACAATCGCCGAAAAATAGTTTTTAGTAACTGAGCTGGTCCAGGACAATTTTTACCACTTTTATGGGACGCGTAATGTGTTTTACTGGCTTGTGTCAAGTGTTCTTCAATTGAGTCAACTCTTTTCTTGGATAGAAAAACATGGAAAGAAGCGTTTTTGTCAGATGTTAACTTAAACCAATCTCTACTTTTTGTTTTAGATGTGTCATGTTTTCCTTGTAGGGTCAGGTTTTCCCCCAGCGGGAAAAGTTCGTATTTTACCTTGGAAGCTAATAATACTTTTTTGGGTATTTTTTGTCATTTTTGGCAGTTGCCATTTTTCTTCCTCCTATTTTGAAAATCAAAAATCGTGCATTTCCATTTTCATCCGTTCAAAAAAGCGGTCAATTTTGAACTTCTTGGTGGTTGCAGCGTAACGATGAGTGAGTCTCAAGCACCTCAGCAAAGGTCGCCAAAGATGTAAGTCGCAATAAATAATTAGATCCTAAGAATAGAATTAGTGGGGAATCAGCATCGGAAATTTTGAGCTCAAAATGAATTTCAAGCCGAAGCTCAGGCGCAGCCTGGAAAATTTTAGAAAAACATCTTTTCTCTAAGAGAGTGGCGAACTAAGCACGCAGCTCGGCTCAGAACACCAAAAAATAATCTTACAAAAATTCGATTTTTTCTAACTTTTTCGGGTGTTTTTCTAACACCCGACCTGCGCCCGGCCATTTCAGCCGGTTCGAATCGAAATCGTCCCGAAAAGGACTTTTTCCACAAAATTTTAAATCTTTTTTCAGGAAGATGACTCCGATTCAAATAATCTGGAGGAAAAGTCGAAAACTCTCCAAAAGATTGAAGGGAGGAATTAAAAAGAGATGGGAAACTGAATGCGGATTTCAAATCCTTGGCCGAACAACTTCAGAATGAACGAGCGACCGTTTCGAGAGCTGTGGCACAGAATATGGACTTAAAGGAACAGTTGGGAGAACTCCAGGATCGACTCGTAGAGGTGACTAATCGATGCGCCGAGCAGGAAGATGAGAGACAGAGAGCTGTGGCCATGGTTAAGAACTTGAGCAGACGGCTGGAGGAAATGGTAGGAGAAGAAAGTTTTGGTTTTATTCTTGATTTTTAGGACTCCAATGGATCCCAAAGCATGAATGAGGTTCAAAAGCAAGCTTACGATCTTCCGATTGTCCCAGAGTTATTAGAGAAACATATTGAAAGCATGGGATATCTCTCGGAAGATTATAATCGGCAATTGATCGACATTTCCAAAGCCATCAAGAGAATTGTGAGTGTTTTTGGACATGTACATAATGATGAAATTTTCAATTTGGATATGTGAAATTAAAGTTTCAGATCAAGAAATATCATCCCCACACGGCTGCAGAGGAATTGGACCAGCTCACGGAACTCCCGGATATTATTGTTAATAGGCTCCCAAGTCATCATCATCAACATAATGGAACGGTTCCTCCTCCGCCAACCCCTAAAAACGATGCCTCAACAATGGTGGATCAAGATCTGGCCAAGAACCTCCCATCTCCAGCAGTATTGGAAACGGCCCTGCAAACGGCCGCGAAAGAAGCACTGGAGACGGAAGAAATGGAAGTAAACAATGAACAACACGAGAAAACGGTGGACAAGAAGATGAAGGTAAGGAAGAGGGTTACAAAATTGCTTATTTGGAATAGAGACTAAATTTCATTGGTTTTAGATCAAGTTATTAATGAGAATTCCCAACCAGAAAGCAGTCAATACATTGAGAATCCGAATTATTATGGAACCCCTCAAAGTTCCTGAGATGAGCAAACCTTTCCAGATTCCTCCAACTCCTTCGAGAATACCTGCAGCATCAACTGAAACGAACATATTATACCTTACAATTCACCGATGTCATTCCCAATATAATAAAATGACCTACTTGTATGTAATCATTATCTTTCTGAAATGGCGTCAACGAATTGTTCAAGACAATCGATGAATGTCCCCATCGGATTGGCCTTAATCGCATTGTCTGCTAATGCGGAATCCATCTCGGCCGTAAAACAATTCACATTCCAGAATGGCGGACTGTAGCATCCGAACAAAGCCGAGGGTGTTGCCGATCTCCCTACAATTACTTGTCCAAATGCTTCTAGAAGAGTTTGGCCTTTGGCTGTTGTGCCCAGCTTCACAATCGAGGCGTTGAACTTCTCGGCTCGAGCGAACGGGATACTGCAATAATTTAAAAAACAATCACCAAAGTTAACCACAAAATGACATGTCATTACTCACTGTTTTCTCACCATTTGATCGAGTTCATCAATGTTCATCTCGGTAATATCGGATATCCTTCATCAGCTGCAACTTGATCTGCTCGTTGAACATCATTTTGGAAAACGGTTTTAATTCTTCTTCAACACATTGTAGGCAACATTCGGCACTGCAAACAACAGACATTAATTTAATCTTACCTGCTCCTTCAGGTCATAACAATAACTCTCAACGAAGCTCTCCAAACTGGCTGTTACTTTCAGGATGTCCAATCCCTGATCGATAGCCATATCGTGGCAGATTGCTGTCCAATAAATCCAGATTGAACCTCTTTTTGGCCAATAATCTCCATCCTGGCCAGAATATGTCTCCGAGTCATGCAAAGCGACTACAGTCAGCTCGTAAGACCACCTTCTGGATATTTTTTTCAATTTTCTCTTTCAAACTCAATTGATATCCCATAAGAGTTAACGGTCCTAATTCGATCAATTCGCGAATTCTTTGGAAGTTTTCTTGATTTTCATACAAGTACGGAGTCTTGCCTTTTTTTGGTCTTGAAGATCTCTGCCTCAATGAAATCCCTCGTCAATGTTCTGATAGGGAATGGAGCGAGGACTCGCGAGGTCATTCTCAATATTCGTACAGGATTTGTCTATTAGATTCTGCCAAGGTATGTGTAGAATCTGTGAGATAATAAGATACAGCAAGACAAATATAACAATAATTTACCTCCCTCAACTGACGCAAAAACATCCTCTCTGAAGTCATCAACAATTTTATCGACTGGAGTTATGTCTGCAATGTTGAATGAGTGGCGCTAGAATCCGTTCAACGCATTTAAAGAACTTCTAAAATAGATGAACACCAAGAACACTTCTTACTTTTTACCCCGTCTGCATTCGGAATTCCATTGTAATCAAAAGATTCAAAATAAATATTGGCAGCCACTCCGGTGGAAATAAAGGAAAGAACAGTCGGTTTACTCGATTGATTATATCGCCAATCATAGAGATTGAATCCAATCGAACCAAGATCTCATCGATCTCTAGTATCTCCGAAGTCCGCAGATTCTTCTAAAAGGACAGTGAGAAGTTATCGTCGATCAGTACCAGGTAATTGGCCATATCCAATGCAAATCCTACAGCCATGAGCCCACTGTTTAAGAAGAAGAATTGCTCAAATATAAGCAAAGAAAGATGAATGGCCGAGAGAACATCGAGATTGTAAGGGTCGGGTTTGCTGTTATTACTCATTGCCTGTCCGGATTCCTTCGAGTTAACCGGACGAAACATTTACTCCGGCATTGTCTGGCCTGCAATGTCCATTCGATCACATTATTCCAATAGTAGGTGATAGTATCTTTGACAATCTGAAAATATGAAATGTAAAAATAATGTTATCACGTGCCGCGTCCCGACATTTCGGGTCAGGGACAACTCGGGTCGCGACAACTCGGGTCAACGACAACTCGGGTCAACGACAACTCGGGTCGACAACTCGGGTCAACGACACACGTCGGGTCAACGACATTTCGGGTCAACGATACCGTTTAATATTTTCGCTTCGGGACTGGGAAAAAAAGAATTTTTGGTAAATTTGAGAAATTTTTGAAATGTTTTCGCTTCGGGACTCGGAAAAAAGAATCTTTTGGAGAGCTTCAACAAACTTTTGAAATGTTTTCGCTTCGGGACGTGGGAAAAGGATTTTTGGAGAGTTTGAACAAATTTTGAAAATTTTCGCTTCGGGAATTGGAAAAGGATTTTTTGTTCTGAATGTTACTATTTTATTTTACATAAAGTACGAATGTTATTTCTTTAATTTTTAGGTAAATAGTTATTTTAGAGGTAATTGAGGTTTATTTTAAAAATTTTTGGGAAAATAGTGTTTATAAGCGAGCAAATAGAGAAAATAAGAAAATCGTTATGTGCATACAATCATTACGACTATCTTCTTACTCCACTCTCTGGCACTGTCTGCGTTTAAATCCCGTGCTTCCAGTTAAAAACATAGACAATGGATACGATTTTCTTATTTACTCGTCGCTTATACACTATTTTCCTAAGAAAATTTAAAAATAGACCTCCATTCAAAAAATTACTTTTTCTCACGTCCCGAAGCGAAAATATTTCAAAAATTTCTCAAATTTACCAAAAAATTCTTTTTTCCCAGTCCCGGAAGCGAAAATATTAAGCGGTATCGTTGACCCGAAATGTCGTTGACCCGACGTGTCGTTGACCCGAAGTGTCGTTGACCCGGGTTGTCGTTGACCCGAGTTGTCGCGACCCGGACATCCCCGATGACCCGAAATGTCGTAGCGCCATCACATGCAATGAAGCCATGATCACCAAAACCTGCATAACCTCAATCAGCCGGAATAAATGAAGAGCGTTTGATCTGGAGATAGCCCTGTCCTTGAAGAGATGTGCGTTGAGGATACATTTCACCAATCGTCCCACTCTATCAGCTAATCTGGCTCTTTTAGAAGAACATTGAACCTGAGAACGGTGGTCTGATTGGCCGTTCCATTTCCCAGCCCGTTGGTCGTATCCTTAATTACATTTATCATCCTCCGCTTTCCATTCGTCGACAATCTCTTGTGCCAGCTGAGTCACCCGTTGTAATTGCTCGGTCTGTTGAGTCAGCATTAAATTAATATTTTCATCCAAAGTCTGGCCATTCAAACATTTCACCGAAGCCTCGTATTGCTGTAGATTCCCCTTTAGAAACATTAAGGGAACGAAGAGAAGATCGCCCGTTAAATGAAAAATCCGGTCAATCTGTTCTGCGTCGCCGAAATCTGTTTGATCAGCCTTTTATCCAGCATTGATGCCCACTAAATAACTATGAAGAACGGTCAAATTACAAAGGACTAATAGACGTTGTCGATCGGGAATATCATTTTGTGCAACTTGGTCCCATTTATATAAAGAATCGCTTATAATTGTGCGGAATCTCTCCAAACATGGCTCATTTCTTCGTGATTGTCTCGAACCCTGATGACGCACAGAACTCTAAGCATTTTTTAAAATAACAAAAGTACCACTTACCTTAACTAGAGACTGCGAAAACAATTCTCTCTCCCACAGAGTTAACGAGGTATTCATCAGTAATACAAGCTGATCTCGTTCCGGAATTTAACCCAAATTGTCCAGGATTCTAGCGAGCAACCAACATGATCGAGTTCTTATAGGTATGGAAATGAGGCTTTGATAAAGGGCCGGTGAACAAAGATCTCCTCAACTGTCGCTAGTATTACCAAGCATACTCCTAGACATCTCCACAACCGCCAAAGAGGGCGTTCTTCTGCTTTTGCCAGTAAGTTTTGCTCGAAAAATATAAAAAAATTAAATGAAGCTACCACGTATACGGTACGTTGTACCCACTTTGGATTCAAAAAATCTGTAAAGCTGTTGGCAGGATGGAGCCCGCCACTTCGCTTTACTCTGACAACAAACGAGGAAGAGATTGTGCAAGAAGGGAAAGAAGTTGGACATAGTCTCAATGACTTTCCCCTTGGCACTATCTTCACCTAAATAAAAAGGTTCATCATGATAACGGAGACCTACCATCCTCACCATAAAGTAAAAGCACATTATATATCTTTTCTCTCGCTTCTGAAGCTAGTTTATCAACTTCGATAGCAAGATTAAGAAATGCGTACACACATTTATCAACCATGTCGTTCCCACTGTTCAGAGCACCACAAATCGGCGGAGAGTCGGGTATTGCATCTTACATAGGTTTTTGTATCATCGGGTGTAAAACTTGGGCGCCAAACGCCTTTTCATTCTCCAAGACTTCCTTAATTCTATTAATTTCGTGGTTCCCTGCTCGTTCATCGACTTTTAGATCCATTATTATTACATAAATAAAAATACTTATATACCGACTGGTCTATACATACAATGTACTTCGCATAGAAACAATCTATACTTATTATAATATTTATTTAATTTGTCTGGCTTATCGTCAGAAAAACGTTTTCGTCGCGAAATGAAAGAGTTAGCGCAGCCAAATTCGTTTTCAACGGTCCGCGGACCGGATCCAGCGAATACATACTACCTGGAGGGGGTTCCGACGGTTCAAAACTTGGTTTTGAGGTCGAAAACTATTACCATGACCCCACTTGATAACAACAGTTTATCTTCATAACAAGTAACTAAACAAACAGTACATGATATAAATCCATGCCTACTCCATTTCGGCATCTTTTGAAGACCCAGTAGGTAGTTCTACAATTGGTGATACTGACTTCTTCTGAATAAAATGAGGGGTGAATGTCCATCGAGGAAGACTCTCTTGAATAAGTTCATCTTTACGGCGTCCTGTTTGCCCAAGGGTAAATTGAAGACACATTTCATTAGACCATGGGTACCGATGGAGTCTTTGATATGACCTCTGTGACCGTTATCTGCGTAGAGTTCAACCGGCTTGAACCAATCAATATCTTCTGAAAACAGCGTTACAGTAAGCAATATAATTGGCTAATGACTCACCCTTGTTGAAGAACATAAATCTGACAACGGCGGACCTCTTGTTGATCTTATAAGGGCGTCCCGTTAGAACGATTCTCTTCAAGACAATACGATCTGGACATATGGGTCCAGAACGGACCCATATGCGACAAAGCTCTCGTTTCCATCCACATCTCGTTTGAAGACCAACACTGGGCAGGGACCGAATGTCACCGGGCCGTAGAAACTGGCGACGAATGGAGTCCCTTCAGGCATGAATCTCTCCATTTTGAACTTATCTCCCGTGGAGTGTTCTGAGAAGATAGGATCCGCCACAAATCTCCTTGATCCCACATGGAATACCAAACTTTCCTTGTTCTTTATGGGGATTTTACATCCATTATATTTTCTAAGGACCACATTCATCACAGAGAACTTGTTTTCATGCTTCAAAAGTCCATATAAAGCCAGTGGATATCTGGGGTCAATCTCGTCTAAAACAAAAATAATCGTTAACAATTTAACTTACTCAAGATATGTGACGGGACATTCTTCAAATATACTGTAACAAGGTCTTGATCTGTGGCAATGTAAACGTCTTCTTCTTGGCTTGCAGCTGCTCAACGAGTGCTTTGACATCATGTTCGACAAATTCCATCACCAAGAATATAATGTCCATGGTATCGCCGACCACAATTTCCTGAAACTCCATGGGATATAATAAAATTATGGAAAACCTTGCGGGAAGTAGAAAAATGTTACCTAAAATGGGAAGACACAGAGATAAAATAAAGAACAACTTACCCTCAACCCGACGATATTCCGATGGTGTCGGCACTTCATCAGCATTTTGATCCCTCTCAACGAAGTTCGAGAAATCAATCGTTTTTGGTAGCTCTCTTCCATTTCTTTCAGTTGATCTTCTGATAACTAAAAACAAAAAAAAATAATGATTGGGTCTTACCTTTTCCTTTTCTTCGTCAAGGAGATCTTCAAAGTTCTTCCTTGTAATTGCCTCCACTTCGTCTTCTTCTTCCACCAGTATTTCTTCCACTTCGTCCTCAGAAATCATCGGGCTTTCTCGATACGGCTCTGGCGACTTGGAGACAACGCTTTCTGGGGAACTGTCGAATCTGGACCTTTTTGGCTGTTCATTGGAGCTTTCTGGCTGGGGTTCTAAACCAAGAGTAAATTAAGGAGTGATTTTCGACAATGTTTATCTTCTGACCCGTTTGATACCTAAAAATCAAAACAAAAAGAAATAAAGCACCACGTACCTTCCATCTCAACATCCCCATTTTCCTCCTTATCGTCAACTCCATTTTGAGATCGCGTTTCGTCTGTTCCGGAGCTTCTTTCAAGCGGACTTCTGCTCCGACTTCGATTCTTCTTCGACTTATGCTGAAAAACCGATATTGAATATTGAAACATTCATAAAATAAGCAATACCAAAAAATAGTCTTAAAATAAGAACACCCTATCATAAAATAATTTGTGCCCCAAAAAATCGACCTATATTTTAAAAACGATAAAATTTACTATCAAAAATTTTCCATATTCCACGCAAACATTCACAAAATCCAATAAATTTTTGACATTCTACTCAATGACGTGGATTATGCAAAATGAAAACAATCGACGGAGGAAAACGTTTTTCGACCATTTTTTTGCAAAAATTTCGCGTTCTTTTCGTTATCTATCGTTTATTTCGAGTTTTCAGCGCCCCCTGCCCCAAAAATGGAAGGAAACTGTTATCTAACGGTCACCCAAGTCGAAGAAGAACTCAAGCTGTTTTGGGGACTTCCTGTTCTTCGACGAATTAACTGATAACGAGGTCACAAAAACGCTGGCCGTCAGAAACATTTCCAATCAATATTTCCCAGTAAACTGCACTCCGGACGGTTTTGAAGTAATGGTAGGTTTTTTTTCAATTCTCCGTTATTATATAAAGCACGAGATAAAATTCTCTGTAAATTAAACAAAATATTTCTTATCACCATTTTCAGGGAGAGACCTTCTCCGACACAAAATCTGCCATTAAGTGGCTGACACAACCCAGCAACGAACACACGACGGCCAAAAGTACGCCTTCAAGACGTATATCCCGAAAAAAACGTGGAATTTGTGCCGCAAAGAATTTAAGGAGATGGTCGAGGTGAGTTTTTCAAGCTCGATCTTTTTTCTGTCTTTCATCGCGCGCCACGCCAATTTATATTACTTCTAAAGAAGTCAAAAAAATAATTCGTGTCAAGTCTCTCCCTGACCTGTTGGGTCAACTGTTTTCCACGGTTAAAAAACGACCGTATCCAGGGGTGGTCGGCTTGGGCCGGAGCCGGCCGGTAGCCCGAGCCCAAACGGGCCGGCCGGCCTCAAAAATGGAAATTGACAAACGGGCCGGGGCCCGTCACGGGCCGAGGCCGGGCCGCTGGGGCCTGAGGGTTTTTTCCGGCCCGGCCCGGCCCGATACAAAATACAATGCCAAACCGTTGGCATTCATTGTTTTCGCGCCGGGAAAATTAATTGATGTTGTTATAGTTGCTGTTTCTCAAGTTCTAACACGTTTACAAGTCTATAGTTCCATTATAGAACCACGAAACTATCACATTGATCCTTTACTAGCTGAGATCAGCGCGCCTTTTTTGCCTCAGTTTAGATCCCGAGCCTGGGCGCAGTTCGCAGAACCCTCTATGGAGCGGGCCTGCACGGGCCGAGGCCGGGCGGGCCAGGCCCGTCACGGGCCGGGCCGGGCCTGGAAAAAAAGACTAGACGGGCCGGGCCGGTGATTAGGCGGGCCGGGCCGCGGAGCCAGAAAATCGGAAAAATAGGGTCTGCTGACCACCCCTGACCGTATCATGGCAGAAAGAGAGTCAATCATAGCAGAAATTTCACAAAAGAAAGAAGAATAACAGACAAATCGAAAAATGTACTCAAGACAAAAAAAAAATAAATAAATATCTGCCATATTTGGCGGCGCCTTTAATGTTTATCGCTGGTGTAAAGTAATTCATTTCGTACATAACTTTTGAATTTTCGATGGCGCTGATTTCGAATATCGTATCCATTTTTTCTGAATTTTACAATTTTTGCTTAAGCAGTAGTAGGAATTAGTAATTAAAAAAATTTTTGAGTAAAGGATTTAGGGTTTTCGGTGGTGCTGAATTTGAAAATTGTATCCATTTCTTCTGAATGTTTGCCTATCTTCCTCAATTCTTTAAAATAAATGTCTTAATTGGTAAAAACTTGGTCAAACTTGTATGAAATTGTGAGAATTATATGACGCTTTTTTTCGCCTTTACATCGACAATTAGACCCTACTGCTTAAGCAAAATTGTAAAATTCAAGAAAAAATTGATATGAGTTTTCGAAATCAGCGCCATCGAAAACCTCCCCCACCCCTCCCCCCGCCCAGCGGACCTTTCCGTACTCAACCCAAAAAAAATGTAAATTCCAGTGTTTTCATCAATGAGGTATGTTTTTCTTTAAGAGTCGGTTTTGTTTTTAGAATATTACATAGAATCGTATGTGGGCTTTCGAATTCCGTTAAAAAATCGAAAGTTGGACGCGTACTTTTAGAAAATTGGGTCCAAAATTAGGGTCCTAAGGGCAAAAATTGGAAATTTTGAATTTTCCGTGGTGTTTGCGCTTGAGAACGTCAAAATGCTTCCGCGACTCCAACCTATGGTCAACGTGAACGGGCGACCGTGACTATCCTCAGGGGAAAAAGAAGTTCGGGAGCTTACAGAAAAAGTGGGAAAATTGCAAAAACAAAGATATATGCTTGGCGTTCTAAAGAGATGATAGACAAGATCGACAGTTAATGCCGGAATTTTTTCCCTAAGTCAAACCAGTCAAACAAATCCAGTCAACCAATCTACGACTACAACGACCCAAAATCTAGGACTCGTTACTTGGAGTACTTCCCGTCTAAATTTTTTTCATATCAAAACATTTATTGGACTTGTTGCGATTGAAGTTTCTGAAGATTCTAAGCACAGTTTCTCCAAAACAGAGTTTTGGAAAAAAAAATTTCCCCCGTTATTTTGTAAGTTATTCCCAAAATAATCCATAGAGATGACTGAAAAAGATTTTGTCGCGGAGAAAACCGCTGATATAAATTTACCGAAAACATTTTTTTTTCTTCCATCTCCTGATTTTGGATCTCTCTCGTTCCCGGAACCATGAATAATTCGGCGGCAAAGTAAAGGATAAAATTTTGAGGAGTTAATATGTAGCATGCAGAAATAATTCGAAAAATAAAAAAGGCGAAAAAGATCTTGAGCGCTTCAGTTTAGCATGACAAATGAAATACAATTTTTTTCAGATCGGCAAAGGTACATATGGAAAGGTGTACAAAGCCGAATGGAAAGAGACCAACGGGTGGCACACTGAAGAGAAACGTGAACGTGGAGTTAACGGCCGAGAGAAAACCACGAGTTGCTGGTACAGGAGGGCACCATCCTAAGGAAGGTAAAGAAATAGCGGACGGAGAAGTAAGAAGGCAAATTAAAAATATACAACAGGTTTTGACCCCCTAAAAAATTAAATGTCGCCAGCTTGAAACACTATAAAGTATAAACTTTCGGGTGAACTTAAGAGAAAATCAGAATTCAAAACTTAATAATTTTTTTCAGCTGACCCATGACAATATCGTCAGGACGTTTGGGTGGATACTCGACGAGCTCCCCTGCTCTATGGTGATGGAGTACATGGATGACGGGTGTCTCACGTCGACTGGATCAACACCCAAACGGAGGCAGCGACTAAACGCCGCGTCCGGAATGCGCCCTGGCAAGCGATCTGCGCGGTGGAATATGTCCACTCGCGTGGTGTTGTCCACGCCGACTTGGCTGCCCGGAATTGTCTGGTGCGAGGGGACACCCTGAAACTGGGTGACTTCGGGGTGGCGACCGACCACCCCCCGCGCAAAATCAAATTGGAAGGAGGTTTCCGTCGCTATGCGCCGGAAGTGTTCGAGTCGGCCCAACTCACCACGGAGACCGACGTCTTCGCCTACGGGCTCCTTTTATGGGAGCTCTTCCATCCCAAAGAATTGCCGCCCGACCTCTACGATCAAATGGACGGAAAAAAAGGTCAAGGCCGAGGTGATCAACGGTTACCGCCTCCCACCGCCAGCATTCATGCCGCCCACCATCCAAGCCCTTCAACAAAAGATCTGGGCCCCGAAACCCCATCTCGGGCCTAGCCGCCGCAAAATCCCGCGAATCCATCGCGGAACTTTTGTAGTTTTTCAAATAAAATTGTGATCTCCAATAAATTATTTAATTTCTCAACTAAAATACGTAGCAAGCATTTTGCAGCTGCACAGATATAAATCAGCATGCCTCTGGCTGAGCACTTTCAAAAACAAGGAATTTCATCATAGTTTCGCGATTTCACTTCGAAATATGTTACCTTGAGATCTGCAGCGAACCCGAAAAATTTCCCTTTTTTCTAAACAACTTAGACAAAAGAAAAACCAAGTTAGCAAGCCAAAAAGGTCTTAAATTAGGTTCGCAAAAAAAACAGCAATCGGAGGGAATGTTTTAGAAATAATTTTTGACAGTCTTCCGACGTTTAAAAAACAAACCTCTATCTGATACAATTGAAAAGCGGTGAGACCAGAATAGAGGAGTTACTCCTAAAGCACAAGCATAAGCTTGTTTTTTATATTAACTATTGGGACACGCATTCGGGTTTTAGCTGACTAGCAACGTAAAAATTGAGCTAAAAGGCTTCTTGAAAACAAAATGAAAACTGGCTAGATAGCGAGAAATGTTTGATGAAAATTTTCTGTAAATCTGCTTCAAATCCAAGCATTAGTCTAGGAGATACAAAAAATATTTCGTAAGCTTACCTAACCATAGAAAACGAGAAAAAAATAATTTTTATCCCGTGAGACGGGCCAAATTCCTGAATCGAGAGAAAAAATATTTGTTTTTCTCGCGAGTTGCGCCCGAGTTTTCGAACTTCCGGCGTGCAGACTGCGGAAGTGAAGGGAAATCTTTTCCAGGAATCGAAACGAGTGGTCCTCGGTTGTATGCAGAATAGCAGTTTTTCCTGAATAGCACTGACCTCAATCACTATTACTGGTTTTTGTCCAAAATTCCTGGTTTTCTGACCTGATCCATTCTAGGAAAATATTTATTGATTTTGTGAAGCTTCTGATATTATCCCATGGAGATAGAACGAATGAATAAGACTCACAATTCGTCTGGAGAGTCTTTAGATCCGATGAGAAGTCATGAGAAGCCGGTTGAATGCGATCCCGGGAAGAGAAGGTTCAAGTTCAAAGTAAGATCGATTAATTTTTGTCCCATACTGTTTTAGGCGAATCCCAGCGTGAAAGAAGACCCTCCACTTCGTCGGATAAAAGAACGGACGAAGGACCGTGTGGATATTGCGTATCCACCAACAAAGAGATGATCGCATACATCATCCATTCCAGAAGAACCTGTCCGACCCTTCAGAAAATGGAACCTTGCGGCATCTGTGGCGCCAGCGAGAAGAACAATCATACTCAAATGTAAGGGTTTTTTATTATACTCTGTCGAGGGTAAGATTAGGTAACTTGAAGCTAGTAAATCATTGACATTCAGAAATCTGTATTGTCCCCTTGTGGTGGCTACATGAGTCTAATATCCAAAAAATTGGGAGGGTTCGATTTTCGAATGATTTTTATATTGTACTAGGTATCAGATTGAAAAATAGATGAGAAAATTTTACAAATTTTTTTTATTTTTGTCGAAAGCCTGTTTTCTTTTAGCCTACAAGACTGTTACTGGTGTAAACGGTCCTTTGGTAATCTCGGATGACGTGAAGTTCCCTCAATTTGCTGAGATTGTCGCCTTGACTTTGCCCGATGGAACCAAGCGTTCCGACCAGGTTCTTGAGGTCCACCAAGACCAAGGCTGTTGTCTAGGTGTTCGAAGGCACCGCCAGCGGGAGTTGATGCGAAGCACACAATTTGCGAATTCACTGGAATATTTTGAGAACGCCCGTCTCCGAGGACATGTTGGGAAGAATCTTCAATCGATCCGGAAAGCCCATTGATAAGGGACCACCAGTTTTGGCTGAGGACTTCTTGGATATCAACGGACAGCCTATCAACCCATGGAGTCGTATCTATCCTGAGGAAATGATTCAGACTGGAATTTCGGCCATCGATGTGATGAACTCTATTGCTCGTGGACAAAGATCCTATTTTTCTCGGCCGCCGGTCTGCCACACAATGAAGTAAGTTAAAGTTTATGACTGATAAGACCTATATAAGAATTTAGACGATGCAGTTTGAATTGATTTTTTGTTGTTTGTTTTATATTATACATGACGTTTCAGATTGCCGCCCAGACTGTACGTCAAGGCGGTCTTGTCCAGCTTCTGATCGTCAACACGAGGAAGGAGATGCCAATTTTGCCATCGTGTTCGCAGCTATGGGAGCTCAACATGGAAACTGCTCGTTTCTTCAAACAGGATTTCGAAGAGAACGGGCTCCATGGAAAATGCATGCTTGTTCCTCAACTTGGCTAACGATCCTACGTAAGTATTTTTATTGTTTTTCTTCTACTTCTTTAGATTATCTGTAAGATTCAATGTCTCGGATGTCAGACGTTCACTCTTCGCATTATACTGAAAATTTTATTATTTTTTCCATTTCAGTATTGAGCGTATTATCACTCCTCGTTTGGCCCTCACCGCCGCCGAATTTTTGGCCTATCAGTGCCAGAAGCACGTCCTGGTCGTGTTGACCGACATGTCCTCGTACGCCGAAGCTCTTCGTGAGGTGACCGCCGCTCGTGAAGAAGTTCCCGGTCGTCGTGGTTTCCCGGGTTACATGTACACTGATTTGGCTACCATTTACGAGCGTGCCGGTCGTGTTGAGGGAAGAAAGGGATCCATCACTCAGTTTCCTATCTTGACTATGCCCAACGATGGTGAGTTTTGAGGGTTTTTATGATCTTGTAGAAGGTTAGGTGATGGGAAAACGATTTTTTGGAGGGATTTTGGATTATAGATGATACTAATAGGGGTTTCATATAGTATTTGGTGATTTTACGGGGTTCTCTACCAGAGATTGCCAACGGCTCCGAGCCGGCTCTTGGCTCCGGCTCCGAGCCGGGAGCCAGAGCCGGAGCCGGGAATTTTGGGTGCGGCTCCGGAGCTCAAAGTCGGAGCCAGGCTTCTCAGCGTTCAGAAAAATAAAAATTCCGTGATCTTGTTAAACCAAATTGCTTGAAAAATAGTGGGAAGGATGTGTTGCATACAACTCGGCTTCAAAAACGTTGGGTGTATGAGGAGCTGCAAATTTGGCCTCGGCTCCGGCTCTGGGGCTAAGAGCCGGAGCCGAAATTTTGACCGTGGCAATCTCTGTTCTCTACACATTGTTGATAGCTAATTTATTTATTTTTCAGATAATACCCATCCAATTCCCGACTTCCCCGGCTACATTACCGAGGGACAGGTCTACGTCGACCGTCAGCTCTGCAACAGACCTACCCACCAATCAACGTACTTCCCTCCCTTTCTCGTCTCATGAAGTCCGCCATTGGAGAGGGAATGACCACGCGAAGACTTCATTCGGACGTCTCCAACCAGCTGTACGCTTGTTATGCCATCGGAAAAGACGTCCAAGCCATGAGAAGGCCGTCGTCGGCGAGGAGGCCCTGTCATCCGACGATCTTCTCTACCTCGAGTTCTTGACCAAATTCGAGAAGAACTTCATCGCCCAAGGCAATTACGAGAACCGAACAGTGTTTGAATCGCTGGACATTGGCTGGCAACTGCTCCGTAACCAAATTCACCTGTAAATACGATATGTAATTTATTATAAATAATTTTCAAAAACTTTTACAATAACCGTTTTATACATTTTAAAATCGATTTAGCCTGTAAATCGTGTCTTGTTCGTTGGTTTGAGATGTTTTGTTGAGCACTGTTCGACCATCTCCACCTTGCCTCCGACCTCTTTGAACACGGTGATCGTCGCTTGGCATGGGTAAACATCTTTATGTGCGAGATTCCAAATCACCGACGCTATTGAAGAGTCATGTCCAACAAAAACGATATTTCCTTTGTAGGCGTCGCGAAGTACATCGACAGTTTTAGAGACTCTTTCGTCACAGCCACTGAAGTTCATTGGCTCTCGGGGCAAAGGCAGATTTACGACTGGTCGATAGGTATGGCCTTGGGGAAATTCCGACTTGACCGGCTTCATTACCGAGGGACAGATCTACGTCGACCGTCAGCTCTGCAACAGACGGACCTACCCACTCCAATCAACGTACTTCCCTCCCTTTCTCGTCTCATGAAGTCCACGCCATTGGAGAGGGAATGACCCGCGAAGACCATTCGGACGTCTCCAACCAGCTGTACGCTTGTTATGCCATCGGAAAAGACGTCCAAGCCATGAAGGCCGTCGTCGGAGAGGAGAGCCCTGTCATCCGACGATCTTCTCTACCTCGAGTTCTTGGGCCAAATTCAGGGAAAGAACTTCATCGCCCAGGCAATTACGAGAACCGAACAGTGTTCGAATCGCTGGACATTGGCTGGCAACTGCTCCGTATCTTCCCCCGAGAGATGTTGAAACGTATCCCGGCCTAGACCCTCGACAAATACCTGGCCCAGTTTAGTATCGACCTTCAAATCAGCTTCCTTTAGTGCAACATTTCTGACAGGGAAGTACTCCAAGTGCGACGCTCAGATTTTGATGAAACTTGGCACAAATTTAGAATAATGCTTTCTAAGATATATGCGAGAATCTTAGCTCTGCGCTTTGCAGAAACAACCGAGATTTTTAGAACGAAAGTCGGCCAAGATTTAGGACTTTTGCCGAATTTCGGCACGAAAAGTTTCATGCCTATTTCTACCGTAGAGGATAATGTTTCTACACAAAAATCAAAATTTTCCGCACGAAAACTGCCAAAGTTATGGAAAAAAAACCGCTTTTCTCTCTGACCGCTCTCCACGTTTTGCGTGCACTCTCGGCGGCAAAAGAATCGTTCGATCTCTCGGCGGCGCCGGCAAAGCGCGAGCTAAAATTTTCAGGAATTGATATTTAGCCCATATCCGACGTGTGTGCAGAATTTAAAGAAAATCTGAGCGTCGCACTTGGAGTACTTCCCCGTGAATAAAAACCCGAATTTTGCTCATTTATGGGAAATTTTCATTCTGAGGGAGGTCGTGGTTGACCTGCAGAGATCTCAAAAGTCTAAATTTTGGGTGAAAAGAGTTGCGAATTTATGATTGGCACAATAGCCGTAATAAATGTGAAAAATACGAGATGTACTTGATATTTAACACAATCGCTTTCATTCAGATTACTTCTCTTTACAATTCAAACTTATATAAACTTCATTTATTCATAGTTCGCCTTAAAAAACGCGTTGATTTTGCAAATAAAATGTCTCTAATATGCCTGTATCCTGTCAATCACGAAAATGTAATCTCAACCCGAGCAAAAAACCCACTAAGAAATTGTGGTACACCTCTCTTTCGTCGCATATTATAGTTCATTTGTTGAAAATGTCGGGGAACCCCCAGGAGATGTTGCTCGTGACCTCAGGTATACTTTTAACATTTGTTTTTTATTTGTATTTACAATTTTTTTCTGAAGATCCAAAAACTTCAGAGCTCTGACAAGGAAGTCACTTTTTCGCAGATCGATCCATACTGGTGACCTAGTGGACAGTGAAGGCCTCAGGCTGTGTAAGAAGAATATGGCGTCCAAAAGTGTTTACGGGCCCTGGGGGCAGAGTTATGGCTCATCAAAAGTTCGCGCAAAAAAGGTTCCGAAAAAGACCCTCCAAAAAAACGTGAATCGGAGAAGTGAGCTTCGGTAGCAGAGTGGTTCGCAGATTTTCTCTTCTGTCCTGGAAGGGCCAGGGTTCGATTCCTCTTCCCGGCAATTAACTAAAAAACAATATTGTAAGAGTAGCGTAAGTTACAAAAAAAATATTTTAAAATATTTTTGAAAAATTTTATTATCCTGTCGTTAAAAAATGACGATTTTGTTCATATCGTCACTAAATTTATCATCTGCCCAGACAGCAAGCGTTTGACTCAAACGCTTCAGCATGGTATCACGATCACCAAGGCGTCTTCTAAAACATCAGAGATATACATATTGAGAATCCCAGTCCTACCTTTACGCCAAAGTTCCCGCAGTTTTCTCCAATGATACGGCGTCTTGATCCACCGTAGTCGCCGCCGATTATTCCAGAAATTGAATGCGATCCTCGGTGGAAAAATGCCCTCGCATCCCTCACTGTGTCCAAGCTCACAACGACTTCCCCAAGTTTTAACGACGGGATAATAACATTTTTCAAAAAATATTTCAAAACAATTTTTTTGTAACTTACGCTACTCTTACAATATTATTTTTAGTTATTGCCGGGAAGGGGGGTGAACTCTGGCCCTTCCAGACAAAAGAAAAATTTGCGAACCACTCTTACTGACTCACTTTTCCGATCCTTTTTTTGGAGGGTCTTTTCGGAACCTTTTGCGCGGACTTTGAGCCATAACTCTGCCCTCGGGGCCCGTAAACACTTTTGCGAATTCTTCTTACACAGCCTGATGCCTTCATCACTAGGTCACCAGTATGGGTCGATCTGCGAAAAAGTGACCACTTGTGAAACGAAATCGAGGGGATTCGTTGAGGAAAAGAAATTCATATTTCACGGGTCCCGACGGGAAATAATCTGTATTTGGCCAAGTGTGCTTGCTAGGATTCCAGAAGTGCGTACTTTAATTAGGGGGTTGAAGATTACAGTTCCTCAATAATGAACCTCATGAGGTCAGAAAATTAGTAAAACATGTACAAAATGAGCTAATTATAGGAATGCAAAAAGAGTCCTTGCATGTCTTATTAGAGTAAAATAATTTCTTATTATTTACGACTTTTGCGTAATTTACGCAGTGGGTAAAAAGGATAAGCTCGAAGTAAGACGCTGGATTTGCAGACAAAGCCGAAGCGTAAGTCCCGGCTTTGTCTGCTAAAGCGTAAGGCTTTGTACTCTCGGCGCCATGCGTAGGATGGGGCAAAGGCATTGTACAATGATATTAAAAGCTGAGGCTGAGACATACGGCCAGCCTTAAGCTAATCCTTAGGCAAAACCAGGGCTTTCCGAGTTCAAGCCCCCACCGTTTTTGCCCGTTTCAGACCATCCATAATGAAAAAATTAGAATAATACAAAAAATGCAAATTTAAGGAAAATGGTGGACACAGTTCCATTTCTGAGATAGACGAAACTACTGTCGGAGCTCCCAAATACCACCGCGGTAGACCAGTAGATCAAACCCCCAACGTTGTACATCCAATCCCCTATTTTAGATAAAACCCCCCACGTATTAGACTTGGATTAATTCTTTGAAAATAAATTTTGGGGGTTCAGATTGGATCAGGGAAGTTGTACTGGGTCATGAGGGTCTGAACTGGACTGAGGGTTTGAAGGATACTACCTTAGCACCGCAAAAACCTAGTCCAAGATGTGCAATGATTAAGCAAATTCTGAGCGTACGCTTAGGCTAAGAATAAGACTTATCCTGAGCTGAGAATTAGACTTAGCCTAAGCTAAAAGCGCAAAAATGCTAACCCAAGGCATTTTCTTACTTAGCCTTAGGTCTATGCCCAAGGCCTTACGTTATTTCTAAGATGCCGTTTGATTATATAATAAATCAAGCCTACATATAGTGCAAAAGTCCGGCTTAATGATAGTCGAAACTCAATAACTAACAACTCAACTAAATATTTAGGAATTAGAGAAAGGCAACAAAGTGTTAATCGTACTGTGAAAACCTGCACTAGTGATGATTAGGTGATTAAACAAAGGTCTAAACGGCTTTCAGCGACTTGTAAATAATAGATGTATAACTAAAAGCGATTTCCAGAAATCGGCCATATTTTTTTCTCTGGTGCATGCTGACTATAAATTTGTACTTTGCTGGATCACATTTGCTTTATTTTGTCTGGCAAGAGTGGATCAAGCCGTGCAAGGCCTTTTATGACTCAAAAAATAACTGGCACATTACAACAGCCTCCAAAATAACGTCGGAGTGCCGGGAAATTTTGATAGTGAAATCTACGCAGTATTTTATCCGACTTACCTTTGACGACAGATCAGTTAATGCTTAGTACCAGTCAGTCGAGAGAATAATTCGGGCGAGACGCGCCGTGGAATCGCGTATCATTTCTTTCTCCAAACCACTGATAATAAAGCTGACTCCCTTTTCGACGCTAAACCCGCAGCTGCGCGCAGATTCTCTTCTTTCAGCGGCGTTGCTAAGTCGTTAATACCAGACTTACATAATAAACATTCCGCGCGTAGAACCAGCAAAAAAAGCGTTGACTCTAAATTTTACACTATTGACAATCAAAATCTCGAAAAAACTCTCCGCGGAATTTCTCTGGACACCCTGTATAGCTCTTCGTCCAATTTCAACGACCACTGTTGTCAACGGAGGCGAATAACCGTTTTACCGGGTTTCGAGAGCTTGCTGTGAAGAACATCTTGTTTATGTCATCATATACAGAGCAAAGTTTTCTTACCGGTAATGTTAGACTATGCGGTCGCTTGCGCTTCGGGTTCTCAAAATTGCTCCGTTTTTGTATCCGATAATCTTCATATTCAATTTTTTTAGATGGGTTAGAAAATCACGGGGCTAGAACCGTCAAGCCCATTCCCCACGGATGTTTTCTCACTAAGCATAACTAGCGTAAGCTTCTCTAAGCATTCGATGCATTAACGATGTTTTGCCTCGAATTACACGTGCAGAGCAAAATTTCCCGCAAATGACGATTTTCCAGGGACGAAGTTGGTCATCTTTGAAGCTTCATAAAAACCGCTGCGTCAAGGCTTACCGAACAAAAAATATATCAATAGGTAGCGTTTTCAAAGTTCTTTCAGAAGCTGTCTGTTGTCATTTCTCCGGATTACACCGAAACGGCAGGATTTTCCAGGCGGCGTTTTACGCAAGTGAGGAAACCAAAAGAACGCGCAAACATAGGTCAACTGCAGTAAAATTTTGCTGAGCAGTGACCTAACATACTAACGCCTTTCCGATTTATCTTAAGATTTTGGCCTCTAGACTCGGTCATATCTAAGCTTTCCAGCGAAGGCGCTCCATCGTCTATAAACCTAAGATTTTTCTCAAGATGTCTAAGATAACCCTGATGCTGCATTTAAGTCCAGCGCATCAAGCATGGTTTATCCCAACTTTACCTAAACGCGTATACTCGCCTATACCCATTTGCTGTATTCTACAGTCCCATGATATCAGTGTGCTTTCCAGCTCGAAATAACTGCCTGTTACCAGTAAAATACAGCTTGACAGGTTTATAATATTTATAACCTTTATTAACAGTGTTCTTATTACATAAGACCAATTACAATTATACTATATGAGATTACATTTTCGAAGAAGAAATGCCCCTACTTCAGAAGGTCGTAGCGACCTCAGTTTGCAATAAGCCCCTTAAACCCTCATCCATCAGTCCGTCGGAGAAAGCCACTCTTTACGCATTCTCTGGATGCGCGGTCTCCATACGATCTGGCCTAGGCAATTGCAGTCTAATGGTCCTTCAACCGGTTATGTCCGATCTGATTACAATACCGCGGACAATCTAATGCAAGCGGGTATGGGGTTGGAGTTGGAATCAATCCTTTTATCGCTACAATCTCTGTAACATTCTTCAAAATGTTATTTTTCCATATTTCTTCTTTCTCTCATAGACAACATTACCCCGGCCTCCTACCTTCCTCTTTCTTGCTTATATTAAAACTTCTTCTAATCGCCTTACACCTCTTACCACCTTTCCCACTGCAGCTGTTGTAGCATGTGTCTCACGGAACAGAGATGACTCACCGTCCTCTTCAAGCGTGCGCCCCTCTCTTTTTCCCTTGTTATTCTTGTAAATAACTCCCGTTTCTCTCGTCAAACTGCTTTTTAAATGGTTTTCATCCAGGAGATTTCTACCGAACCTTTGGGGAGAAATTCCCAGGCTAACACAAGCGGACCAACTGGTACAGCAAGCGCATATCATCCGGCTACATCGACTCCTGTTAGCCAATACCCGCCTAATATTCCCGTCTACGGAAGGCCAATTGTCTTCGCTGTTCGAAGGACAACTTATTATCAACCGGCAAGCTCCAATCAGGCGAATAATGGATATTGTACTAACCAGCATGGATATCAAAATGGATTTCAAAACAATGCTGGAAAAAGAAATATTGATACTGAAAAATTAAAAAGAATGGCTACTATGGCGGCCAGAGAGGCCGTCCGAGGGACTGAACAACTTCTACGACAAACGGCCGATGCCCTCAGGGGGTTACAAGGTAGTCTACTTTAATGTCAAGATTTGTTCAATTTTTGACGCGTGAAGATAAAATGATTGCAACAATCTCTAATTACGACATTTCCAGGTCAATCCAACCCCTACCTCCAACGGAATACTCAGAATATTCAAAATGCCCGAGGCGGTAATGTCCGAATAATTGTCGATGGCAACGTGGTTTATGATGGCCCAGCAAACGGAAGATACGACATGTACACTCGAAATGGCAAGCATATCGAGATTTATTACTAATACATCCATGTTCCTTTGTTTTTTGTTTGTACATTTCAATTATATTATCCATGATAGGGTAGTGTAATGCATCGAATTACAGGTAATAAAGGCTTCAGATCATTAGTCAAAGGCGCTTCAATCAAGAAAACATCCTGTAAAGAGATGAAAAAATACGTTTTTCGCCTGATCTAGGCAAGATTCCAGAACCAGTACCAACTCGGCTGAGTTCCACCACGAAAACAAACAACGTTTGGCATAACGCAAAAACCAGAAATATTTTTTGAAAAACCAAAAATTTCGAAATTTTGAAGAGTTTTACAAGTTTTCAGCGTTATTAGTAACACAAACAGAACAAAAATTTTATCAACTCGTTGTGCCTTAGACATGGCTGGGACTTCAAATATCCTGGAGGTCGTACAAGACGTTTTCAATGTTTTCTTGGCCGCAAATTTTGCTGGCTATACTCAGAGTAAGTTTGTAGTTGTATTTTTTTGGTTTTTAGATAGTTTTAGATCCTTGTCTTGGCATTAATTTTCAAGTATAATTTTATTTCTTTCTTTGTTGTTTTATGATCGTGCTTTTTAGGTGATCAAGAGTACGAAAATGGTAACAGGACTCTGAACTTGAGTAGAGAGGAGATTCTAAAGGCATTGGAGATTGATTTTGTTCGCCCGCATCCATGTATCAAGTAAGTGTTTGATATTTTTGTTGTGTTCTAGGGAAACCTGCCAAAGTGTTGCCTAAAATGATTCCATTTTCTCTTCAGAAGACCCGATCTGCTGTTATATCTCAAGAACACACTGTACGGTAAAGCAGGACTGTCAGAATCACCTGAAGATGCTGTTTTTACTTTAAAATTTCTGCACATTTTGCAATTATGCATGGAAACTGTTTGTCCGAGCGTTCAAAAACAAATTTCCGAATTGGTAAGGGAGAATAAGATGTCTTTTTACAATTAATAACTTTCGTTTTCTTCGTTTTGCCATTGTAGAACCTTAAAATCGCCTCTTCATATTGCACTTCACATCTGGTTGAACTGAACGTTTCCAAACCCGATTTTCTCGATCTGTTTCGCCCGGTAAAGTCAGTTGGTATTGAGGATGTTGAAGAAAAAGACCCAGAGAATCCGGAATCAGAAAGTTCAGCACCAAATTTGTCCAGAAAATCGTTCTTTGAATGGATTTTGCTGAATTATCAGATCTCCTCGAACGCCGTTTTGTTCAGTGTTGCAGCTAAATTTTTGGAACTGGCTTCGAAGTTTGTTGGTTTTGAATTTGGTTTTGATGGTCAATTGGGCAAAAGGACGAGGTATCAGCAAAACAGTTTGCCTCAGTTGGTACTAAAAGTAGGGTTTTATATTACCATCTGATCTGAAGTAATATCAAAATTTTAATATTTTTTTTTCTTTCAGACATCCAAAGTGGACCACTCAAAGGCCGTGTTTACGAGTTTTGAATCTGTTCAACATCCTAAAAATATTGAAAACAAGGATGATACACTCCTCCAAAAGGTCAAGTTTGATGACCAAACTCAAGTCGAAGCGCTCTCTCCTGATCAAATTGGTGTTCTATTGGCTGCTGCCTTGTTGGAACAAAAGACTGACCCAATTGAAGAACTGAAATTCGAACAAATGGATGCTCTTTGCACCAAGGTATGATTTTATTGTAATTTTAGGCCAAGTATAATATAAATTCTATGTTTTTATGCCCTAAGCTTTTGATTTATTGCAGATTCTCTCTGAATCCGTTGGATTCATGACTTCGGTTGCTGTTTTCCAGCTGCGATCAAAATATGAACGCCGAAATACGAGGAGAGTTGAGCGCGCAGTTCAGCAGATGGAACACATCGTAGATGTCCTCGAAAACCGTGAGAACAGAATCTTAGACCCGCGGGAAATGAGAAATAGAGTAGCTGACATATGGATCGCGTCGCCGTTGAAACCAGTCTGGGCTGTGAAAAAGTTCTATGCCAAGGTTTTGGAGTCCTTGGCTTTGACTAGTGTAAGTTGGTATAATTTTATTTTTACACTTTAAAATGTTATGTAGTTCTCAGCAGGGTTTATGATGTATTCTTTAACTTTCAGGAAGCTATTACGATTTACGAGTCGATTTTTGCTTGGAAAAACGTGATCGAAGGATATCAAGCCATGAATATGAAGGAAAAGGCCCTAAAAATCCTCGAGACCCTCAGGGCAGAGCATCCAAATGACCCGTATTATCTCTGTCTCATAGGGGATATCCGAAGAGACGAGAATTTACTCAAAAAAGTACTCGAAATTACGGAGGACAAGTATCCGAACGCCCATAAAGCCCTGGGGATGATGGCTCTGGAGAATAAGGACTTCAAAAGGAGTTTCACTCATTATAAACGAGTGTTCGAATTGGTCCCGCTGAGTGTCCGGAGTGTCTACAATTACGGAGTCTCGGCCTGGGAGATTGGCGAGATGAGAGATGCCATCATCGCGTTTCATCATGTCACTTGTATTGACCCGGATCACTTCAAGGCCTGGAACAATTTGGCTGCTGCATATTTGGCAACCAATCAAAAGGGAAAGGCTGCGAAGATCTTGAAGGTAGGCGGGGTTAAGAGGGTTTAGAAAGAAATCTCGGGTTGTTTCGTTGAGTTGGAAGGGAGTTACGAACATTTTCCAGCAAGGACTTCAAGTCGACAGGGATAACTATAAAATGTGGTGCAATTTGTATGAGATTGGTGCGGAATTATCGTCAAAAGGAGACTGTTTCTTCGCTGTTCAACAAATGATGACATTCAAGAAGGCTTCCAGCGAGTTTAACCCGAAACCATTGCTTAAAGTAGGATTTTATTATATTGCACTTGATATTTTGATGGAAATTTATATTTTTTGATGTTGTTTAGAAACTTTTCTTGGTTTAGAGTAAGAGTATGTCATTTCAGGTAATTTTGACACACACGAAAGCCGCTGAACACACGTATTATCCCTGTCCGCCATTGGAAAAGCCTCTGGATCAGTATGAAGAAAAACAACTTTTAAATGCGTTGGATGCGGCTCATGAAAATTGCACCCTAGACCCAATGACACTTCGATTGATGGCCAATCTAAGGAAACCGACGGAATCTGAAGAAAATTTGGAAGTCATTCAAAAATATATTGAGTTACTGGACCTGGCTGAAAAGAGAGAAATGCAAGCTGGAAAGGTAAGGTTGGTGGGAGCTGGGATAGAAACAAATAGGAAAAATTGTTTCTGGGTTATTTATTTAGTATTTTACAAATTTTTATTTCGAATTTGACTTTCAAATCTCAGGTATAATGTAGAGTTTTCAGAAAGACCCCGATTACTTGAACACTATCAACTCCCTCCTGGACTCGTATCAAGCCCGTCTAAGAGCAGCGGAAATAATTGGGAAGTCGCCAGCGGCCGCGAAGAAACTCGTCTTTTTCCGGTTACGGCCGCTCATTTCGGCCGTTGAGAGATTATTCAAAGAAAAACCATCGGCCGAACAGGAGAATCTTCAACTGGCTGAGATCTTAATTAGAGCCAAACTGTTGCTAGAGGAGTTAAAATGATCTTACCGACCTTTTCTTTTGGATTTGCACAAATTTTCGGTCGTTGTTGAGTTATCTCGTGAAGTCCGGTTATCTTTGTTGAGTTTTTTGTTGGTAAATATTATTACTAACGGGTCGAGATTGTGTACCAGCCATATTTCGGGTTAAACTTCCTTTTCAAGAACCTCTGAGATCAAATTTTACTTTGGTATCAGTTACAGTACAAGTTATTCCAAAATTTATCATTAAGTCTCATCAAAGCAAATAAATTACGTACAAATGAAAGTAATAAGAGGTTAGGAATAGTACATAGTTATAAATACCATCACATTCATGCATTATTAACTGTTAGTCCATTCACTTCTGAAGTTGGGGTAACATTTTGAACTGGAACACATCCATCGAACGGGAGGTTGTGTAGCAGTTCGGGGATTTGACTGATCTTCAGCCCAAGTAGGAGTTGGAAAAGCTCTTGGGGACAAGACGAAGGGAATGAGGCCTAAATTCAAGGGTAATAATGCAGATCATGGAAAACCAACCATGGTAAAACGGGCGTATCGGTATGATAGCCGATCCAGATCCTCGGTTGAGATGTCTTGGAAGGCCCGATGATCATTCGTAATCAAATGAGAGGCATGACGCTGTTTTAACTTCTCCAAATAGGTCTGAACTTCGGTTACTCGAGACCTTCTCCTTCTTAGCTCGTGGGCATCTTTCTCGTGTTGAGGAGGAAGTTCAGAGGTTCCGTAAAGCGCCTCAGGGTTTTGGAGGACATGGTCTACTAGTTTTATCCAGGCTAAAGTGAGATTCGTGGAGGAATAAAGAAATTTTTATTATTCTTACATTCCATTTGGTAGCAGATTCCTAACAATCGATCTAGCAGGTTCTCCAACGCATCAATGTCCAAGTGGCCGGTTTGTTCACGTTGTACGAGGCATCCACAATACCCGACGAGCCATTCTGTAAGACAATTTAGTTAGTGAAACGTCAATTTTACCTATTCTTTGGCGACAAGCGTCCTAACACTAAAGAAAAAACTTACTGCCTATTTGTTCGTAAACATAATCCAAACTGCCGTCCATCTCGCTCAATTCGACATTGGAGAAGATGAAGGAATCCGCGTTTACAACAACTAAAAACTAGAATAAAAACCTCGAAAAACGCACCTTCCAGTTCCCCATAAATAAAATCCATTTGGTCAAAGACTTCTTTGATTTCTTCGCCAAGACCATCTGAATCAGTAGAATACGACCTGGACCCGCCACGATCTTGACGTCTTCGGCGACGTTGAAGAGTTTGCTTTCCTCGTTTAGGCATTTTTAAATTCTTTCAATTTCAATACCTAAAGTAACATAAAATAATATAAAAACTGAATAAACCGACAAGTAAAGTAATATTCTTACTTATTACTCCGGTTGGCACAAGCTTCAGTGCAGAAAAGCGTCAAAAAATCTCGTGGAATTCTTCTCCGCAGGGGTGGTCAGCAGACCCTATTTTTCCGATTTTCGGCCCGCGGCCCGGCCCGTCTAATCACCGGCCCGGCCCGGCCCGTCTAGTCTTTTTCCAGGCCCGGCCCGGCCCGGCCCGTGACGGGCCTGGCCCGGCCCGGCCCGGCCCGTGCAGGCCCGTCTATAGAGGGTTCTGCGAACTGCGCCCAGGCTCGGGATCTAAACTGAGGCAAAAAAGGCGTTGATCTAGCTAGTAAAGGATCAATGTGATAGTTTTGTGGTTCTATAATGGAACTATAGACTTGTAAACGTGTTAGAACTTGAGAAACAGCAACTATAACAACATCAATTAATTTTCCCGGCGCGAAAACAATGAATGCCAACGGTTTGGCATTGTATTTTAGACGGGCCGGGCCGGGCCGGAAAAAACCCCAGGCCCGCGGCCCGGCCCGGCCCGGCCCGTGACGGGCCCGGCCCGTTTGTCAATTTCCATTTTTGAGGCCGGCCGGCCCGTTTGGGCCGGGCCGGGCCGGCCCGGGCCGGGCCGGCCCGGCCCGCCGACCACCCCTGCTTCTCCGGAAGACGAATAATAAAAAAGAAACACTTGACAAACTTTTTAAGATGTCAAGTCTCTCTTTTGAAAATATTTTTTCACCAAGTTTTGACAAAATTTTTACTCTTTAGAACGATTCGTACACAGTAATTCGTATACGATGAGTCTCAGTCAAGGAGGGACGGATTTCACGGAGATTTTTGGCAACCCCTTTAATAAAAAGCCGGAGAAAACGAAGCCTCCGGAACCTGTAAGTTTTCGCTATTTTTTTCTTGTGACCGTGCAATTTTAGGAGCCTGAATTCGAATACACACCTTCTGCGTACTTCACACTAGTCGATCAGATGATAGGAAGCCGATCAAGGCCGTGGAACCCCGAGAGGACACCGGTTATGCCGAAAATGGTGAGTTTTTGTTGTTGTTCTTGGTTTTTAGTGATAATGTGAGAGAAATCCTGGTGAATAGGCCCTTGACTTTGTTCCAGATGCTGTCCCTACCACCCATGTCAAAGGAAGAGTTGATGATCCATCGGACGATGGAGAATTGCGCCTTCAAAGCAGCACTTTCTTTTGTTCTTGGAGGAGGAGTCGGAGTTGCTTTTGGTTTGTTCACAGCATCCGTTGACCCATCGTTGAGCTTTAACAAAGACCCGACTAAGCCTGTAAGGACCATTATGTATCTTTTCAAAGCAAATTTTAGACTGATTTTAAATGTTGTATTATGTTATACTAGACACCTCAATCTTTCAGTTGACATTCCGCGAGACTTGGATTGAAATGCGCGGCCGAATGGTCTCATATGCGAAGAACTTTGCCTCTCTGGGTCTGCTCTTTGCCGGAACCGAATGTATCCTCGAAACTGCTCGAGGGAAGTCGGATTGGAAGAATGGAACCTTCTCTGGTGGAATTGTAGGTGGAATTATTGGTCTTCGAGCAGGAGTAAAACCCGCGCTATTTGGAGCAGCTGGTTTTGCAGCATTCTCAACAATAATCGACCATTATCTCAGACATTAGAAGGGTTAGTCTTTGTACGTATGACATTGTTTTAGGTCGTTGTTAAGTTTGAGGTATTATAAAGAATATTTAATCTGAATATGAATGTTTTGTGATTTTTGAGCTGTCATAGGAGGATTAGTAATTTTTGAATGCAAATGATTTTTTATATTACACATGACATCAAGTTCACCGCATTTTTTGTCTTGGATTTTTTATTTCTTTCTGCATGAATGGACGTCTATTGATGTCTAAAAACTATTTTTTATGTATATTAATAACTTTTTATTACATCATCTATACCAATAACCCAAAAATTATCACAAATTCATTTATTCGAACCGAGATTTTTAACAATATAGCCGTAAAACACAACGTAGAACCGAATGGAATGAAATCAAAGAGCAGACAAAATTCGTATTTTACATCAAATTTTTGACGAAACCCGCAAGTTTTTTGGTATTTTTTTTTAAATCTGGAAGTTTGTTTGAGTTGAAGACAGTAGTGGACACGTTATCCCTTTAGGATATATTTTGCAAAATCCAAGGAATTGCGACCGAAATACGGAAAAAATATAAAAATAGAAATATATAAAAATATTTTTGAATAGCGATATCCGTTTTAAAATGGCATTTTAGGAAAATAGGAAAGTGTAAGAGAGCTGAAAGCGATTTTAGAAGATAGAAATTAGTAGCCCCTACTTTTTAAAAGCTCTAAATGTTACTATTAAATAATCATTAGGAATAAAACATAGGAAAAAATCTAAAGAACAGTTTAAAATTTTAAGACAAAATATTTGTCATGGTGTAATTGCGAAGAATAACAACGAAGTTAACAAAGTGACTGCTGGCGGTGCTACGTTTTCTTCTCTTCGTAGACATAACCATACGAAGGGCCACTGCCCTTTGGCAATTTGGATTGTGTATGCCAAACGAGGATCTCCTTGGGCTGTCTGTCGTATCCAAAGGGCTCCAAATCCTTCATGGAGACGTTCAATTGCTTTAGGAAACAGTTTTCCGGATCTGATTTTCCACATTTTTTGGTGAATCGGGCTCTAAAATACGGGATGTTGCAGTAAAAAATTAGTATAAGTTTTCCTGCCTCGTTTTTGACCTCAAATTCACGACTTACGTAGAATTTATCAACACTCGCAAATTGACGGCGAAACCGGCCATGTCTGTTGCAAATTGCCGTTTCGGCGCATAAACTACGTCCCATTTTGTGATTTTTCCATTTTCCACATGAGGAGCCTCGACTTTAGCTCCGCCAGAGAATCCTAAACGAGCATGACCTTTGGTGCTTTCGATATAACAATTTTCAAATATTCCAAAGTCCTTACCGACTGCCCACAGGCCGACTCCTTTGACTTTTCGGATATACTCATCGAACAGCCGAAAGTCGTAAGTATTGTCATCATCGGCGAAATAAACCACCGCACAGCCATTGTAGTCCCTATATTTGGTCTTGATTATGTCTATGGCCATATTTCGATGGGACCAGCCCCGTTCTAGAATTAAGATTATTGTTTACGAGCGATGCTTGACCGATTGAGTCAGGCGTTTTTTTCGCATAAAAGGTTAAACTTGTTCTAATAAAAGCCTTGGAAGACTTTTCTGGGTCATGCCTAAATTCAACAGGTTTTAATTGATCGTTTTGAAGAGATAGAGAGGAACACTTGACCCAATGAGTCAACTGTTTCCCTCGGTACCCAAAACCGTGAATTGCGTATTGAAAAATGACAACAGGGTCACATAATAAGTCTCACTGGGATATTTTTAGACAGAAATATTTTTTCTCTGGAGTTCTCAAAATAGAGATAAAATTAAAAATTTTTCAACTTACTTGGCAATGAATCAACACTAGTTGTAAACAGATATGTATGAGGAACTCCGGATCTCTGCAGCAACCTGTTGACAGCGTCTGACGTCCGATTCGCGTCCTCAATTACCAGCCAGTGAATATTTTTGACTAACATTAATGTCTGCGCTAAGCGAGTGAGATCGGGCATTCGAGTCGGTCTGGCATAAGTGGGAGTTACTACGATGATTAGGCATTCGTTCGTCGAGAAGGCTGTTGTCGTATCTACTAAAATGGAAAGGAAATAAATTTTGAAGTTTTGAATTTTCCGCACAGCGCAAAAAAACTTTGGGCTGGAATGTACGAAATTTTTGAATTTGAAAACATGCTGACCATTCTGTGGAACAGTGATATCGGATATTGTTGGGTAGGAATGCCACGCGACCACACAAAAGGCGGCCAAACAAACGAATGGGATCAAGGGCCTTCGCACCGTGCGCGATGCCACTGCCGGGATCGGGGAGGGCAGTGGACTATAGGAGGGGGAGCGCATCAGCGCCTGAAATGGTGAATTAGGTAAAGATTAAGGTACACGTTGAAAAATTACACGTTAGCGGAAACATGTGACAAAAATTTTATAAAAAAAATATAATAATATTTTGCGAGGGAATTTTGAAAATCTTGTAAGCGCATTCTAGTAAATAGGCCGAAAATTAATCCTTGAAAATTTTATCAGTCTGGCCGAAAAAGAATTTGACTGATAGCTCATTCCATGCAAGCAGAGCCGATTTCAACGGCCTTTTTGCGAAAGAGTGCGTAAAATGGGGCAGCAATACAAAAACTTTTGGATTTTGCTTACCAGGGACGTACCCCAAGTGCGACGCTCAGATTTTGATGAAACTTGTCACAAATTTAGAATAATTTTTTCTAAGATGTATACGAGAATCCAAGCTCGCGCTTTGCAGAAACAACCGAGTTTTTTAGATCGAAGGTCGGCGAAAATTTAGGACTTTTTGCCGAATTTCGGCACGAAAAGTTTCATGCCTATTTCTACCGTAAAGGATAATGTTTCTACAAAAAATCAAATTTTTCTGCACGAAACTGCCAAAGTTATGGCCAAAAAGCGCTTTTCTCTCTGACCGCTCTCCATGTTGAGGGTGCTCTCTCGGCGGCAAAAATCGTTCGATATCTCGGCGGCGCCCGCAAAGGGCGAGCTAAAACTTTCAGGAATTGATATTTAGTGCGTACCCAACGTGTGTGCAAAATTTAAAGAAAATCTGAGCGTCGCACTTGGAGTACTTCCCCTGTAAATTTGAGGTAGAGGCTTTATCGACTAAATATCAATTCCTGAAAGTTTTAGTTCGCGCTTTGCAAGCGCCGCCGAGGTCTTTAACGACCCTTGCCGCCGAGAGAGTACGCTAAACGCGGAGAGCGGGCAGAGAGAAAAACACTTTTTGGCCGTAACTCTGCTAGTTTCGTGCGGAGAAAAAATGATTTTTTGTGGAACATTACTCTATGGTTGAAATAGGCATGAAACTTTTCGTGCCGAAATTCGGCAAAAAGTGTCAAATTTTCGCCAACTTTCGATCTGAAAATTCCGGTTGTTTCTGCAAAGCGCGAGCTAGGATTCTCGCATATATTTTAGAAAAAAGTATTCTAAATTTGTGACAAGTTTCATCGAAACCTGAGCGTCGCACTTGGGGTAAAAATTATACAAATCGTTGCAAACTGAGCTTGAAATTTTCAAACCGAAAATCGCAAAAAAGTTTTGATAGTCACATTTTTTCGGCTTAGAAATTTCGCTTTCCGCATAGAGCAAACCGAATATTCGAATAGGAGTCATGTATTCCCAAATTCATCAAAGGTTTAATCTGATGGAGAAAACAAAACATAAAAAAATAATTACAAAGTTAACAAACCCGAAACCCAAAACGCGTAAAGACAATAACGCCCGAGGTCTGGAATTTGTCAACCATGAAACTCTTCCCTTTTTCTCGAGGAAACAAAAAACGAAGAGCTCGAGAGGTAAAGGAGTAGTTACTAGCTACGGTGAAAAAGTAATGATAGGTTTGGAGAACGAAAAGAAACGCGACAGTTATGAGAATTACTGTTTCTTAGACCGGCTATTAGACTAGAGGCAGATCAAATTTGGGAAATGGAACATACTTACTAGCATTAATCGCGGAACAAGAGCGACTGGTCAAGGAGAAACGTAACAACATAAAAGGATTTCGAGATATGGAAAATTTTTGAAATTGAGTGCTTTTTCAAAATTTGCGTACTGAAAAAAGTGCATAACGTTTTTTTTGGGATGAAAATTACCGAAAATTAGAATGAAAAAAATTGAATTTTGATTTTGGAATTCGAAATTTGGCCAAAAAATTGCGCGAAAAGAGCCTGCCAAATTTACCAGGATTTCTAGGTCGAAATGCATATCATTTCGAGCCACAGAGAGGATTATGTTGCTGTGGAAAAACAAATCTCCCACATTCGAGAAAAATGCTCATTAATTTGTATTCAACAGAACTATACCTCAAACAATAAATATTTATATTCGAACGCAAAAAAGATGTCCCCTCGGCTCCACAGCACGCCTATGATATCCTCGCGTGTATCTACCGGCTTATTTCGAGTAAGATTTAATTGTTTTGCCCGCTGGCCAAATTTTTGTTCTCCATTTGGCCGTGAAATAAAAAATTTAACGTCCTTTCCGAAGGTGTAATGACAATCGTCCTCCGGGGGTGATCGTTTACATTTGAATTATTAATTTTCATGGGCAAAAACGGGAGAATTGCCTGATAATGGTGATCTACATGGAAATCGGAGCAGGCGTTACGTAGGACATAGGTTGTTTGATGTGAATGCGGGGGTGGATTGGAGTTTTAAGGATATCAGTTTTAAAATGCGTTTTGTTAAAAAATTGTGGATGGTTTTGAAATGCCCGGAAAAATTTCGGATATTCTTTCCCTTTATGCAGATCTGGCCGAAGCTTTGGGGTTTGAAATCGTAAAAAAACTGACATCTTTTGTTCGTAATTTGGGGTTCAAAAACGTGTTCTTTAACGTCATCGAGTGCTATTTTTTCACAAGAAAATAAATTTTTTATTAGGGAAAAAACAAGGTAAGCTTTTTTCGTCCAACCAAAGTTTCTCATTTTTTTCAACTTGGATAGGGATGTTGATTATCTCTGCTGTAACATGGAAGCTCAAACTTTCAGTGCGGGGATGTAATAACACTAATATGTACATAACGTAAAGTTTTTACCCAAGATTTATATGAAAATGAAAAAATCAAATCTATGCCAATCTGAAGGTACTTTTCTGTTCTCATTAGACATGGCTCGTCGGCCGGCCCGGGCCGAAAATCTCGGCCCGGCCCGTCGGCCTGAAGGGTTCCGGCCGGCCCGGCCCGTTTCAAATTTTCCGTCGGCCCGGCCCGGCCCGTTCTAAATTTGCTTCGGCCCGGCCCGGGCCGGCCCGGGCCGGCCCATTAAAACGAAAGTCTCCCCAAGTCTAACTCCTTATGACCTAATTTTTTTCTATCATCATGTAAATGGATAAATACTGTGTTCCATAGCTATCTAAAAACAAAAATACCGTTAAAAAAGGTATTTTTGTGTCTTCACATTTCGTTTATTTTCATTATCAATCCCAATTTTCGCTTCGAGATTCTGGATTTTAACTATTTCGGGCGGGCCGGGCCGAAACGTCGGCCCGGCCGACGGGCCGGAAATGGTCCGGCCGGCCCGGCCGACCTGAAATCCGGCCGACGGGCCGAAATTTCGGCCCGGCCCGCGGCCCGGGCCGGCCCGGCCCGGGAGCCATGTCTAGTTCTCATCTTTCTTACGAACCCTCAAATAAACAAACTCCGTTCTCTTTCTCACACATTCTTCCGTTTACAAGCAAATTCGCAAAAATCTCTGGTATTTAAAATATAAGCCCAGTGAACTGCATTGGACTCAATTGTCACAAGTCAGAGTTAAATTAAGAACACTATCGAAATATTTACGCCTCAAACTCGCGGCTATCCAAATACCACCTCCAGATAGTTGGCTTTGTCTTTCCAGGGGTTCAAATGGAAGCTTCGTATGAACAAAATGGGATTAAGGTTCAGATAAGTGGATTGTTTTGTCATATCTAAAAACAAGGCGATTTCCAGGATGTAAATTAGGAGAAAGTTTTTGAAAACGTGGAGCTTCGGAAAAGGATAGATATATCTTTTTGTCAATACAAACTTTTTAGGGCTTTTGTAATTGTAGTACTATAAGGACGGTACCCTTGCCAGAGTAATCATACCCTGAAAACTGCGCTCTTGTACTCTTAAATCCTGCCTGCAACAATAATGTATTTTCAAGAGTAGGCCAGGTGGAGTCAACGCAAACGGCAGACAGAGCAAGGAACACTTTAAAAAGGGCAAATTGTACGTACATATACATATATCAGCCTTTACAACGAAAATCTTAAAGACGATTAGAAAGTGAATTAAAAGAGAGTTTTTTACAAACTGAAGCTTCCCTCCAAGGGGCCCGGACATTGTTGCAACGACCATCACCAAATTTCTTGAAACTTGGCCAGTAGAAGGGCCTGAGCATGCTGATGAAAAGCGAAGAAGGGTTTCGCGAAATTTCAACCAGTCCGCGATTACTGTAACAATTTGGGTTTTGTAAAGCAGCCGTTGTCACGGACCGGGCGATCGCCCTACGGGGCTGAGACTTCTTGTCTGTATGTTTTCGAACATGGCCAACATTTTTCTAATTGAAACTTTTTTTGTATCTTTTCGTCTTTCGGTAGTACCGTAATCGTCATGATACCATATCGATTACTGCCGAAAATTGGAAAGAGTGTAACAAGTTTTCAAACCGGATTATAAAAGTTGGACACCCTTCCCGTAAAATAAAACAAAAAAATCAAAAATAAAAATATAAGTTTTTGAGATATAAGCGTTCAAAGTTGCCATGTTCGGTTACTGTAGGACCGAAAAGGAGATGATCAATTTTCAAACGGTACGATTGATTGCCACGCCTCACCCATTAATAGGTCAGCCTTAGAAAAATATTTTCAGGTCAAAAAATAAATATTTGAGGCTTTTTTTCAGGCTTTATACGATGGTTACTGTAGTTTCTAACTTTTGTTAATTTCGCTAACAAATTTATTGGAATGACGAATTTAGACAAGCTATCCGGGTCAGAAGCGCGCATACATCATGGAAGGCAAAAATCAGAATCGTAATACTACCCATTCCTGAAATAGTGGGAGATTACGGTAGCCGTACCCACTTTTTTCGCTGTTTGGCCGCGGCATTCTTTGGAGCTGCGAGTGTAACAACTTTTGAGGCCTGAAATTCATTCATGATGGATAGAAGAGCATTTCAGCAAAAAATCGCGAAAATAAAAATATAAGTTTTTGAGAAAATCCAGGATTACGGTCATTTTAGGGGGTTTTTGGGCCGTTTGGCCGCGGCATTCTTTGGAGCTGCGAGTGTAACAACTTTTGAAGCCTGAAATACATCCCCGATGCTCTAGAAAGTACCTATGTAAAAAAGCCCGAGAATAAAAATATAAGTTTTTGAGAAAATCCCGGATTACGGTAGTTTAGGAGAGGAAACCCCCTAAAATGACCGTAATCCTGGATTTTCTCAAAAACTTATATTTTTATTTTCGCGATTTTTTGCTGAAATGCTCTTCTATCCATCCTGAATGAATTTCAGGCCTTAAAAGTTGTTACACTCGCAGCTCCAAAGAATGCCGCGGCCAAACGGCCCAAAAACCCCTAAAATGACCGTAATCCTGGATTTTCTCAAAAACTTATATTTTTATTTTCGCGATTTTTTGCTGAAATGCTCTTCTATCCATCATGAATGAATTTCAGGCCTCAAAAGTTGTTACACTCGTAGCTCCAAAGAATGCCGCGGCCAAACAGCGAAAAAAGTGGGTACGGCTACCGTAATCTCCCACTATTTCAGGAATGGGTAGTATTACGATTCTGATTTTTGCCTTCCATGATGTATGCGCGTTTCTGACCCGGATAGCTTGTCTAAATTCGTCATTCCAATAAATTTGTTAGCGAAATTAATAAAAGTTAGAAACTACAGTAACCATCGTATAAAGCCTGAAAAAAAAGCCTCAAATATTTATTTTTTGACCTGAAAATATTTTTCTCAGGCTGATCTATTAATATGTGAACCGTAGAGATTAATGGAAAAGTTTAAAAATTGATCGTCTCTATTTTGGTCCTACAGTAACCGAACATAGCAACTTTTGAACGCTTATATCTCAAAAACTTATATTTTTATTTTTGATTTTTTGGTTTTATTTTACGGGAAGGGTGTCCAACTTTTATAATCCGGTTTGAAAACTTGTTACACTCTTTCCAATTTTCGGCAGTAATCGATATGGTATCATGACGATTACGGTACTACCGAAAGACGAAAAGATACAAAAAAAGTTTCAATTAGAAAAATGTTGGCCATGTTCGAAAACATACAGACAAGAAGTTTCGAACCCGTAGGGCGATCACCTGGTCCACGACAACGGCCGCTTTATAAAACACAAAATTTTACAGTAATCCCGAAATAATGCAAATTTTGGGAAAACGTTTGACGCTTTTGATGTATGCCTTGTGAGTGTTCTATGAGCCAAATTTGAAGAAATTCGGTGATGGTCACCGCAACAATGTCCGGGCCATGCTTCACTTTGTAAAAAAGTCCGTTTTAAACACCACCTGGACAGTTTATCCTTGGAAAAGGAAACGTATTGACAACGGACTTGCATATAATAGACCTACATAACAAACAATTCTCTAAATGTTTTGACTCTTTTCTTACCAAGTTACAGAGAGGATACGCAAAAAGTAGGGCCTAGAAAGGGTTGCTCATCTTCTCATTACTCATATGCATAAAAATTGATCTTATTACAAAAGCAGGGGCTCGTCAGACTGTTCGAAACTTGAAATGCCCTAAGGGAACGCTCGCTTTCTTTCAGACTCTTTTTAACGGTCTCTTACTCAATTTAAACTCGCAATTGAGCGTTAGATGACACTGAAGAATGGAAATGAAAAATTATTTCTTCCGGGTCAAGAAAAGGGGAAATTGAATTTCAGAGCGAGTAAAGTTTGATGTAAGGTCGACAGAACATAACATACTGGGTTATAAAATACGTCTGGGTTAATTTGCTAGGCAT